ACATTTGCTTTATTTATCGCGGAATATGGCTAATACCAGCCCAAAAGTGTGCCGTGGCTAAACACGCAAACATAAATAAATGCGTTGCATGAGCGACCGCAAATAAAAACCAAATGCAATATGCCACACGAAGAAGGCTGGTGAAGGCGTAAGCCCAATTAATCTGGCTGGGCAATATTATGATCGTATCAATTACCCAACATACAAACAGTGGCAAATGACACGCCCACCCAGCAACCGCCGGGCAACACGTGCCTCAACCCAAAGACAATGCGAACGAGATTGAGAATGTTGGCTTAAGGCGGACTCTGCTCTGTCAACTAATCCTGTGCATAATGTTGCATAAATGCGAGCGCATGTCAAACGCCAAGCAAGATTCGGACTCCGACTTCGACTCAGAGTCAGACGCAGACTCAGAGTCAGACTCAGACACAGTTGCAAAGGCAGTCAGGCTGATAAGTGACCATATCCATATCCATCCAGTTGCGTCCGAATCTGCCGCCGTCAAAATGCAAGCGCAACTTTGGCGGCGACTCAAACGGTGGCAGGCAGTCGCTGCCATTGTGTGTCGGCCAAATGATGTGCCAAACTGACACTGCCAGATAGATAGATACGGATACCCCCAAACACCATTAAGGAGCTTAACCGTGGACGGGGATGGGGGCGGGGGAAGGGGACGGGGACGGGGTGGAAGGTAGCCCACCAAATGCATCGCATATTCCGCTTGATTTTTGGTTTCTGTGTGTGCCCAATGCCAATGAATCCGAATGGAATGGAATGGAATGGATTGTTGTTATTTTTATTTTGTGACAATTTCAGCAGCAACAGCAACAATAACAACAACAACAACAACAGCAGTAGCAGGAAATAATAAAAGTGCAAACAAATCGTTAGATTTTTCGTATTGAAGTGTTGTCTATGCTTGTGATTGTTGTTGTTTGGCATTTTGTCTAGTGGCACAGTGGAACAATGGCCGCAAACAAATCGAATAAATGACTAATGTATAAATGGTATATGTGAGGAGGAAAATTACAAAAAAATCATAGAAGAAAAACTTCATATAAGGGCTAAGAAAAAATTGTATAAAAAACATAAGAAACCAATTTTGTATTCAAAACCTTTATTCAAAAAATGATGTAGAAGATTTACGAAAATTCGAAATTTTAACATAATTTCAATAGTTATTTGTATATAATTTTGTCAACTATTTAATTTAGGTGAATAACTGTCAAAACTTCATTTAAGGGATAAGAAAAACCATTAATCTAAGTATAAAAATTAAGAAAATAACATATTTTAATTATTATATATTTATTTATTTAACATTTTAATAAAGCTGCATAGCTATATATTAGAATAAGACTAATAAGCCCAAGATTGTAGAATTTTCTTTATTATTTATTACTTATCTTAAATATATAAGACAACATCTTGAAAGATATAATTAAATGCCTTAATCATCTACTGCCTGAAGACAGAAATTGAATTCAAGCCAAAATGTATATATATAAATAGATGGCATGCATAATTGTCTAGCAGTGCCACAATAAAACAATCTGTAATTTACAAGCGTGCATATACTTTCGAGCTCACTGTAAATCAGCCACGATGATGACACGGCCCAATGTCGACTATCTGTCGGATTGTGGGGCCCATTTACTGCTGCTGTTTAGAAGCGAGAACCAAGCCGCGCAATTTGTGAAATTTTTCCTTGTTTAGATTGTTATGCTCTGTGTGTGTGTTGGTGTGTGTGTGTGTGTGTGGGTGTGTATTTTTATGCCTGCGATAAGCTGAAACAGCGACCATAACCATTCTCATATTATTTGTAAGGATTTTTGCATTTATTGCCAACGTTTTCCAAGGATTTGCCAGAGAGAGAGAGAGAGAGAGAGAGCGAGCCCCCAATCCGAATAAGGCAGCAATAGTGTGTTGTAGTAGTATCTTAATAGTTATCAGGCGATTCTTGTTGTAGTCGTTGTTATTGTTGTTATTATTATTGTTGCTGCTGCTGCTGCTGCTGCTGCTGCTTCTGAGCCCAGTTAGTTTGAAAAGCTAAGCCAGTAACGGCCAACTTTATTTGGCCAGTAAAATTTTATGCCATTTTATAAGCAACATAAATGAGACATTTACCATTTAACCGGGTGTTTGGGTTAGTCTCGTGCTGTAAATCCATTAACGAGCGACGCGTTAAGGTAAAGGCGAAGCCCGACTAAACAGAGGGAAAAAAATACACGCAATGCGGTGAAACTATTAAAACTTATAAATAAACAACTTGAAAATTGTAATCGGCAATTATACGCAGCAAATTAACATGAACACCGTCTGTCAGATACCAGCAATAACTCAACCCAAACTCTGACAGCCCTTGGACTCTGCCACAGCCACAGTGGCACCCCAAGCCAAAGGGTTGTAGCCTCAGAGCCCCTCACCGAGACGAGACACAGAAAGGATCGACGATCGCGGATCGCAGGAACCTGAAAAGATATCTTCATGCATGCATATTAGTCGTGATGATGACAACCTGTGAACAGTCGAGAAATATCTTGAGTAATTAGTTATTGTCGGCATATTGCAGAAATGCCACAAACATAGCTGTCAGCAAGGAAAATACTGCTATGAGTTGTTGAAAGGCCAACTTAATTTATTGACTGTAATTATTTATTTATATATTTCAATTAATGTAAACAACGAAAATAAATATATTTATGTTATTCTAGTTATTTAAAGAAGACGAGCACTAACCTTGACTTTCAGCTGTATCTATAAATATATAAAATAAATATTTAAAATTTGATCAACCTTTTGTTTCCAAACTCAATGAAACCAGTTAAAAATCCATCACACAATTTAAGTCAAAGACAAAACATTCACTTTAATGCTCAACACACACACTCAACACACACACACACACAGCGGGTGCTCGTCTTTAAAAATATGACAAAGCATTGTCAACAAGAAATATTTGATTAACGACTAAAAAACAGAGCTAGCAAGCCAAAAGTGACCGGATTGCCGGCTAGATAGCGACTGGCACCGAGTCACAGTAAAAAAAAAAACAAATAAATAAAAGCAAAATAATATTTAGGAACAAAACAAAAACGATGGGAATACAACAAAAAAAAAAAACTAGGCAGCAAAAATGTTGAATGTTAAAAGGTAATAAAAATATTTCCCTGCTGCTTCGCATCTATATCCAGATCCAGTCAGCAGTCAGCAGTCAGAAGTCACCAGTTGGCAGTTGGCAGTTGGCAGTTAGCGGCTCTGAGCCAGCTCTCTTTCCAGCTGTTGGATGGGCTATCAATATTCCGTTTCGATTTCGAATTAAAAGATTATGACGATAATAAACTTGACTAATCATTTTTATTACAATATCTTAACGTGGCCCACACTTGCACCGGTGTATTCGTATATTTGGTTATCGAAACTGAGGGGTCCATGGCCTTTTACCACGAAATTTCAACGCTTCTTTTTTTCGTTTTGGTTATTTTTTTTTTGTTTTTTTCCCAGAACATCCATGCCGATCATGATAAGCGACGTTGAAGTCAACACATGGGTCGGGTGGCCAAAATAAAAAGTCAACTTTGTTTATTAATTTTTCATAACTTAAATACATATATTTGTTACTTTGTATACTTTTTATTTGTATTTCGTTTGCTTTATGGTTTTTCTTTCTTGTTTTTGTTTTTGTTTCTGTTTTCTTTTCTTTTCATTTTCTTTTTTTCTTCATTTTTTGTGTAATAAATTATGAGACTATGCTTACAAACAGATTGAGATACATTTGTATCTGTATGATTTATGTGTATATGGTAATTTATGTTTGCCTGTCGTCAACTTAACTAACATACTAAGCTAATTAATTAAATGGTTTTGCGAAATTATTAGATTACACTTCACATATACATATATACATGCATGTATATATATCTTCTTTCTTTTTTGTTTGACAATCGCCTTAAGTTGCACTACCAACTAAATTAACTATGAATGTTAAATATATATATATATATCTTTATACTTTTTTTTTAGTTTTGAATTTTTTGTATTTTATATTTTTTTTCTTTACAATAGTTTGCCAGTTGTTATAAGTGATATGGAAAGCATTTTGCATCAACTTGGCTCCACCAGCTGTATCGGCCAACAATTTAACATTTAGTATCACAATTTCTCGTTTTTTTTTTTATTTTTTATTTATGCATTATTATTATTACAACTATATTTTCGAAGCAAAGCAAATTGATTGAATTTATTGCGTTTAGTATTATTTACAAGAGATTAAAAATAAGAACGTAGGAAACAAAAGCCAGACTAAATTGATAGCGTGTCATATTATTATTGCACATTTGAAATATATATATTTGAATATGTGTGGACTTAGTTATCATATACACATAAATGCATATGTATATATATATATATATATAGATATATACTATATTCATTATTTATCGCCTAATGTTTAGTGTTTAGTATTAAACATACCTTAAGATTAATTTAAATTCGAATTTTGATTTTACTACGCCTTAGATTTCAGCTGATTTCGATTTGGATTCCATTTCATATTTTATGATTCCGATTCTTTTTGCAAATATTGTAATTACATATACATATACAATTGTATATATATATACATTCTTTTATTAGGTAATTAGCCTGAAACGCTATCAGTCTCATTTCAAAGCACTCCAGCGGCTTTTCAACGGCCTCTGTTAAACTGGAAAATTGCTTTTGATGCATCTTTGGATACGTTTCATGCCAGTTTAGTTTAGTTTTATTTTTTATTTAGTGTGTGTCCGTCTCTGTCTGTCTGTCTGTCTGTCTGTCTGTCTGTCTGTCTGTTGCCTGTTTTCAATTTGATTTCTTTAGCACTTGTTTATGGGAGCGAAATCATGAAAGAACTCACAGGCAGGCAAGCATCGCTCCTGCCTCCTCCTCCCCCCCACATAACAAAATCAAATAATAATTTTGTGGGCAACAATTTATAAATTTTAAGTATTGTATATGCGATGTTTAGTATTTTTTTTTTTTTAATGATTCTTATGGTTTGTTTTTTTGATGGGTTTTCGTACTTTTGCTCTTGAACTACCTTGTGTGTGAGGCGGCTTCGGGTTCGGCTTCCAGCTTCCAGCGCAGCGTTGTCGACACTCTTTTTGCTGCTCTTCACAACACTGCATGAGATCATATTGGTTGTTGCGAGAGTCTATTGTCACGGCCAATAACTGATACATATTTGGATTGTTCTTCTTCATCATCGATAACTAACTAGTTAATTATTCGCGTTCATCGCTCCACTCGTTCATCTACAAATAAAGATATCAAATTTGGACAATTTCTATATTAGCATGGATCACATTTTTATTTCAATGCATTTGTTGTGTGCTTTTTCAAAATAATTAACTGAGCAAGGAATAAATAGATTTGAGTGTTTTGTGTAGTGTTGGTGTTCGTGTTGGTGTTGCATTGGAAGACTTACATACTTCACAGCTCGATTCCTGAAGGTCTCCTGCTCCATGTCGCGGATCTTGTGTGTCAGCATGTGCTGCTTGAGGTTGCCCTGCAACAAAATTAAATGAGAGAGAGAGCAGAAAGAAAGGCGTTAGGTTATCCGTTTTAATAGAAATTAATCATATAACTCTTAAATTAAGTTCACTAGCATAGCTTGCATAGTAGCATTTCTATTTGTAAAGATTTTCAATTTGTGTGGAGCAAAAACGCCTGACCTTAATCAAAAATCCTAATAAATATCATAAAAATAAATTAATAAAAATAAATTAATAAAAATAAAAAAAAAACCAACAAATATTATTCTGATTTTTGGATTTGATTTCTAGTGATTTGATATATTAATGTTCATAATTTATTTTAATATTTTCTAATATTGTAAGAGAGATTTGCATTTAAAAGTATATTTAAATTTCTCAGAAGTAAAAACGCTAGACTTGATTTAAATTAACAATCTTTAAATATTTGATATTTCTTCTTTTCAAAAATTATTTATATTATTAATGAATATATTTCGATAAAAGTGTTTATATTTTACCATCTAAAATTCCTTCAGAAATTCAGAGAAAAAACCTGTCTGCAAATATTATTTTGAATATTTTACTTTCTGATGATTTGCTAAAATGCTCATGATTTATTTTCAAATTATTGAATTTATGAGTAGATTTTTGTTTTCGTAAATATTTCAAATTGCTCAGATGTGAAAGCATTTGATAATCCTAAACATGATTTATTTGTTCTATTCAAAATTAGTTTATATTTTAATGAATATATTTTGATAAATATTTGTATGTTTCTTTATCTTAGACTTATTGTGAAATTCTGAACAATTTAAAAAATAAATATTTTAATGATTTCTGAGAAAAATCTTAAATTCTTTCTAGATTATTGCTCATAATTTAATGGTATTCTTGCCACAATAATTCTGTCTCGGACTTACCTTAGTTGTGAAGCCGCGATCGCAGATGTTGCACTTGAAGGGCCGCTCCTTGGTGTGGCTCCTGTAGTGAATCTCGAGCGCCGAGTGGCAGGGGAATGTCTTGTAGCAGATGCCGCAGGTGGTGCTGCCCCGCACCCCACTCAATGCCAGCGGATTGAATGGTGCCGCTGGCATCACGGATTGGGCAATCTGATTCATGGCATTGCACATATTCTGGGTGGTGGCCGGCGGGAAGATGGGCAGATTGGGGAACATGCCGAAAGGCGGTCGGGCACCGATCAACGGATTGGGCTGACCACCACCGGGTGGACCGCCGGGTGATTCACCGGCTCGTGTCGGCGGCTGTGGCGATGTCTGACGCTGGGCAGCAGCCGCAGCCGCTGCCGCAGCAGCTGCCGCTTTTTGTTGCACTTCCTGTGCCTCGCGACGCAGTTGCTCCTGATGCTGATGCAGGGCGGCGGCATGTTGCTGCATCTGATGGTGATGATGCTGGGCAGCCGCTGCTGCTGCCACCGCCGCCTGTTGCTGCATCAGATGCTGATGCTGCTGCTGCAGATGATGCTGCAAGCCGGGCGGCAGGCAATCAATGCCCACAGACGGTGCCAGTTGCGAGGAAAGCAGCTGCGAGGCAGAGACGGAGGCAGACGCGGAGGCGGAGACAGAAGCATTGGGACTGCGAGCAGGTGTGGACTGCTGGCTCAGCGGACTCACTGTCTTCTCCTTGGGCGGGGGCGGGGAGCGTGACGTGGAGGCAAGTGGCTGCGACGGGGCAGGAGCAACGGCACGTGGCGTCAAGTCGAGTGCGCCCTGCGATGCCTCCGAGACGGATCGAACCGGCGAACAGCTCGGCTTCGGCTGCGAACTGGGACTGGCGGGTGCGGAGGGGGAAGCGGAAGCGGAGCCAATCGAATTGGCATTGCTGGCAGCGGATCGAGGACGCGAATGCTGATGATGTGAGTGCGGATGATGACTATTGATGTTGACCACACCGGTGGCATCGATGCGCAGCTTCTGCTCGAAGAGCAGCGACTTGAAGTCATCGCCGGAGCGCGGACGTTCATCGCCCATCGCTGGATCGTTGGAGAGATGCTCCGAGGAGGCATCGTCGAAGTCATCGCCATCGCCACAGTCCATGTTGTCGTCGAGATCACCCTGCGACGACTCCGAACCCAAGGCGCCATTGTGTGGAGCACCCGACATGCCAGCTGCACCCGCACCCGGATTATGACTGCCCGGACCACCGCCAGGCATGGCACCAAAGTGAAAAGCAGCCGCTGCAAAGGGATTCATAAAGTGACCGGGCATCATTGAGGGCGGCGGATCACGAATCTCGGCCGCCTGAATCTGCTCGGGCGTCAGATCCGTTGGCTCGCCCGTGTGCAGTCGGATGTGCTGCTGGAGGACCAGCGCATTGGAGTACTTCTTGTGGCAGACGGGACACTGATGGAAATTGCGCATCGGCGGACGAATCTTGTGCACAGCCATGTGCGTCTTCAGATTACCCTTGGTGGTGAAGGCGCGTCCACAGATCCGACACTTGAAGGGTCTCTCGCCGGTATGGGTGCGATAGTGCATCTGCAGGGCGCTCTTGCAGGAGAGGACGCGATCGCAGACGACACACTGGTTGGGATCACTGATCTTCTTGTTCTTCATCAGCTCCTTGAGCTTCATCGTCTCCGACGTGTTCGACACCTCAATGAAGTTCTCCCACGAGTTGTCATTGCTATGTGGGCGTGGCAACAGCGCCGCCATCTCATGCTTGATCGGATTGAAGAACGGCGAACGCGGAATGTGGGCATGAGCATGGCCAGCTGGCGACCGAATGGGCGAGTGGTGCTCGGGGGAGAGTGTCTTTGTGGTGAAATTGAGGGGGAATCGTTCGGCAAAGAAATCCTCACGATGTGGCATCGTTGGCGGCAATTGGCCCGGTGTCGGCAGCTGATCTAGATGCGAATGGGAGCCGGGCGAGCACTGGGCGTGCATTATTGCTGGTGGTTGAATCGGTTGCACCACCGGTGGATAGCCGGGCATATGGTGGTGCTGCTGGGAGGGATGATGATGATGATGATGATGCTGCTGATGATGCTGATGCTGATGATGATGCTGGTGATGATGTCGCTGCATCAGTGGCGGCGTCTCAGACACGGGGTCCGTCGGCGAGGCAGCTGGTGTGCGATGGGAAGGTGTTTCCTGGTGCTGCTGCTGCTGCTCTCGCTGCTGCTGCTCCTCCTCCTGCTCCTCGAGCTCATCGACGCGCTCCTCCTTGATGCGCACCTCCAGTGGCAGTGGCTCTGGCTCTGGTTCCATGTCGGCACACTCGGCGGACGTTGCTGCCGTCTCCGGCTCCGTCTTCTCCTCCTCGAGCAGTTCCGCTTTGACAGGCAACCGCACTGCAGTCATGTCATCATCATCATCGTCTTCCTCGTCGTGCGGTGAACTGGGACCAGACGATTTGCGCAAATCTGTGGGCATTTCCTGACTAACCTGCTGCTGTTGCTGCTGCTGATGCTGCTGCTGCTGCTGCTGCTGTTGTTGGCTGTGTTTGAGAGCCGCACCCAGTCCCGGCATCTGGGGGAAGAAGGGATGCGGCAGTCCGGCCGTACTGCCAGCCGCCGCACCCAGGGACTTCAGCAGCTCCATGGGCGGACGATAGAGGCCCTGCAGGCCGGGGAAAGACATCGCTGGTGGATGAGCGGACGTTGAGCTGGCCGACGCCTGACCGGATGCCGGCGCTGGCGATTGTGTGGGTGAACTGTCCGGGGACATTTGATCCAACAGCGGCGGATGGAACTTGTCCATGTGCTCGGGTATCGGTGTCGCATTCATCGGCACATGCGGAAACTTCTGGGCATGCCGCTGGAAGTGCACCTTGAGGTTGCCCTTGGTGGTGAACCGACTGCCGCAGACGTTGCACTTGAAGGGCCGCTCGCCCGTATGAGATCGTATGTGGATCTGTAGCGCCGAATCGGAGCCAAAGACCTTGCCGCAGTACCGGCAGCGATGCTTGAAGAAGGGCTCGTTGCGACCCTTGCCCTCGCCGCACTTGTCCCCGAACGCAAAGTCATCGGCCATGTTGTTGGCCAGGATGCCTTGCGAGGCCGAGTCGAGCACTTCCTGTGCCCGTTTCTGTAACAGATCCAACGAGTTCGGTTCCGGCAGATCATCGTGATTCGTTATGATGCTGGAGGCCAAATCGTTGCCAAATGGCAACGGCATATTCTCCATCTCCTTGAGCTTGGACAGCGCATCCTGTGCGCTCTCCTGCGGCTGGCCAAAGGCCTTACCACCACCACCACCACCAGACTTGGCGCCGACATCATCGCTCCGCTTGCGCTTCAGCGAGACAGCCGGCGACGCTGCCGCCGAGGGGCTGGGTGAGGGGGAGGCGGAACGGGAACGGGAACGTTCACGCAGCGGAACTCCGGCATTGATGAGATGCTGGCGTGCCTTGGACTCGGCCATGCGAGCCTCGGCCTTCAGTCGCAACTCCATATCGGCAATGCGTTCCTCCTCCTCATAGGTATCCGTTTCGCCATCCTCTCGCTCCTCGGGCTCCACATCCTCGTCGGCATCGTCCTCGTTGCTCTGCTTGACCTGATTGAGGGCCAGCTGCGATTGCAGCTGCTGGATGAGCTGAATCTGAAAGAGTTGCTGCTGCTGCAGATTGAAGAGCGTCTGCTGGAGGAAGGCCAGCTGCTTCATGGCCGCCTCATTGTCCGCACCGGAGGCGCCATTCGCAATTGTCTTGGCCGCAAACTGTGCGATTGCCATCTGCATGTTTTGTATCGCCTCCAGGGTGACGGGTGTTGCCCCAAATTGTTGGGCTGCTGCTGCTGCTGCTGCTGCTGCCGTTGCTGTTGCTGCTGCTGTTGCCGTTGCATTGCTGACCGGCGGCGTCGCAGGGCTCTTCTCGTGCTCCGCCTGCGGCATCTCAACATCCACATCCAGTTGCTTTTGTGGCTCCTCCATGCTGGATGTGGCAGCGGTGGGTGAATTGGGCAACGATGAGTTTGAGTTCGCGTTCGCGTTCGTCTCGTGTTCCTCGGGCGGCTTTGTCATGACCTTGACTTTGTTGTTATCGTTATCGTCAACGTTATCGGTATCGTTATCGTTATCGCTATCGTTGTTGTTGTTGTGGTTGCTGCTGTTATTGTGATTGTGATCCTCGATGATCGCATCTGTTTGATTCTCAATTTGCTCCACACTCTCCTTAAGCTTATCCAGCTTATCCAGCTTATCCTGTTTATCCTCTTTGCTATCTGCCACTTGTGGAAGCTCCCTTTCGCCAGCCACCTCGTCGTCGTCGTCGCTGTGGCGCCGCGGACTGCGGCTGGGGCAGGGACTATTCCCGGCACTGGCGCTGGCCGGTGTCGCCGTTGTCAGCGGCGAGCAGGCGCCATTATCTTCCTGATCACTTGCGATGTCTGTCAATAAAATCGATATGAAATTACATATATATATATATATACATAAATATATATAGATTAGCATACAATCGAATATATCAACAACTTATCCATTTAGACAAACAAAATAAATAAACGACAGGCGATTTCTATAATATTCTGCTTTCATATCTTGAATATTTGTATAAATATTTATTCATGTCATAGTTTTGAATGGAAATTGACAACATGATTTTGGAGTGTCGATTTTAATCAAATATATCTCAATTTGCTGAGTTCGGTTGATGAAATCTATTGATTCAACAGATATCAAAATTAACAATTTAAATGAAATCTTCTTTTTAAATATTCTTCATGATTTCAGTTAGAGTAGTTTATTAAAGCTGGAATTAAAAACAGAACTAGTCATCTCAAACTATCGCAAATGAGTACCATTTACTGTTTAATAATATTAATTCAAATCAAGTTATTTTTACGACACTTCAATTATTTTGGTTTTATACCCAGAATCTATAAAATATGTGCAAAACGTGTTTTGTTTTTAGATTAATTTCTTTGGTAATTTCTGATTTATTGAAAAAGCTTATACAAAAACTAATATTCCCAAATTTATGGCCTTATAGCTCTAATATTCTCTAAGGTCTTGTAGTTCAGGCAGATATATAGATATATATATGGATATATAGACAGAAGGACAAACGAATAAATCGACTAGGCTGATCAAGAATATATATTTGTATATATTTTAGGGCATCGGAGTTGCTTACTTCTGTCTGCTATGCATTTTTCCAATTTTTAATATAATATAAATAATACACATAAATATGTAAGTAAATGTTAATTTTAAGCTACTCAAAATATTCTTAAATATATCAATTAAAAAGTAAATTTAAATTTAGCCCAAACTCCTTTCTTTTCAGCAGATAAATAATATATATAAATATGTATGTTAATATTCCCTCTCTGGCAGCATTTAAAAATTAATAATAATAGAATAATTGATTTGAATACATTTCTAATAGACAACAATAAGCTTGCTCCACTGTGCACACTTGACAATGATAGAAACAACAAGAGCAGCAACTGCAACAGCAACTTGTTGTGCCTCGCAGTGGCAACAACCAAAATAGACAACGCGACTGTTGGCAGCTTGCTGGCTGCATGATTTACCGGCAAAAGACGCCCGCAATTCCTCTCCACAACCCTCCAACTAGCCTGCCCCACACACACACACACACACACAGAGAGTGTGTTCCTTTTGATCTTCAGTTTAGATGCTGTGGCTGCCGCTGCCGGTGCTGCTGCTGCTGACCATTGCCTTGTCGCATATATGACTTAATCGCCAGCAATTGTTGATTGCAATGCGGCAATTTTGCTGGTTGCTGTTGCAGTTGTTGCTGTTGCTGTTGCCGCTGTGGCTGCTAGCTGAATGCAATTACATTTCTTGTGGCAGCATCGAACCAGTTGCAATTAGCAATTGTTGTTGCTATTGTTGTTGACCAGCAGCTGATGCTCACCTGTTGCAAGCACTATCAACTTAAACAACATCTGACAATTGCCGACGGAAAATGTCGAAAATCAAAAATGAAAAATACAAATTAAATTAAGAATAAAAAATGTATCTCAAAGTAGTATGTAAAAAGCGAGCGGCCAATTTGGTTCGCATGCGCAGCGGCCATAAAACATAATTTATGATAAGTAAGCGCAGGGCCAGGCTGGCCAGGCCAAGAAACGAGATAAATCTCCAGACATGGCTCGATTGCCTCGATTGCCAGCCTGTTGCTCTGCTCGATAGTATAATAAAGCATATTTCTGCACAAATCAAAACGAGTCAAGCGAGTTTTGCACCAGATACATAGACACAGATATACACACAGATACACACACAGATCCACGACTAGAGGCACTCAGATACTTTTAAGCAGCCACGTTTTTTTTTTGGTTGCTGCTATCAGCGCCATTTGCATATCGATCGCATCAATATAATATAATTATTATTTTTAAAACGAATATGACGCTCAATGCTCCAATGTTCTCCGCGTTGTTCCTCATTTGGTATTCGATTTCTGCTTTTTTTTTTTTTGTTTTTGTTTTTTTTTTGGTCAAAATCTCGATTTGAATGTGTGTTTAACTCAAATAAGTTGTGGGTTCAACGCGAAATTCTGATCGAAATTATTATAATAATAACTGATAAGTGAATGGTATTTCAATTAATTAACATTGAGTATTATGTGCGTCATTAAGTTTTGTGGCGGCTGCTTTGTTCGCCTGACAGCCGCCCATAAAAAGTAACAGCAAATCGGAATTATGATGCCCATTAAATTGTCAGTCAATCGGCCAATTGCAAAGTCATTTGACAATTGCTCATAAATTCTTTGGCCACATTTACAATACGTATAAATGCATTTTCAATTCTCGGAGCTGCTGTTGTCCTCTCTAATCAGTTACGGGTGTTTTTGCAAGAAAAATATACCACAAATAGTTTCATACTGTTTTTCATTCTAAACCAAATATTGTTATGATAAACTGACATAGAAAAATACAGATATACATATATATATATTATTTGTATATACGTAAAATGTGTGGACAGGAAATTATATTTCCTTTTATTTATTTGGAGCAGACTAAAGAATAAATATAGAAACGAATTTAGCTCAATATACACAAGGGACAATGAATTGAATTGTATACGATTCAAGGTGGATTAAGTCAAGCCATAAATTGATTTCTGCCCCGAGCACTAAATTCAAATGACAAACACACACACACACACACACACACACGTTAACACATATATAGTAAGAGTATTCTCCATAAATCCGCACAGTTGGCAGACTTAAAGATTAGCCGAAATTATGCAGCTTCTCATTTGCCATTGTCAAATTATGTTTGCAACAATTTATAATACTTGTTGTTCGCATTTTAAATTGTCATTTCAACCGCACACCCATCAAAATATGTTGTTGCAACAAAAACAACAACAACAGCAGCAACAAACATTTCTGGTCTGTTTTGTTTTTTATGTTTTTAAATATCTGTCGGATGTTCTGGCTACTAAATTTTACTTCCAGCTCTAAATTTAGTTCGTTTAGCTTTCAGCGTGGCAATTTTGAAATGTGGAAACCAATAAAGAGTGAAATCCATGTGGAGCATTGAGTAAAATTAAATTAATTAGTGTAGTTGCCAAATCAATTAATATTTAAACACTGTGTAAATTTAAGCTTTCATTAATTTTGATAGGTTTAATCTTTTTAATGCCGCAAAGCGTAATAAATTGCGCTTTATCACAATTTAATTTAACACAGCCGGAAATGATAGCAATCTTAGATACAAAACTATATTCTCGATATAACGAAAAAGCAGCTGCTGGAGAAATTTTCATATCATATTTTCTTAGGTTTATTCTAAATGAAATAAGTAGTTTCCGGAAGACATTTTTGGATGTGAAATTTAAACAAAAAAAAAAACTTTGTAACAACAAAGTTGCAAGCAAGTTGAGCTTTGGTTTGGCTTTCAGCGAGCGTTTCAATTAATCCAACATCATATTCAATATGCAAATCGGGCGGGCAAATATATGGGGCCTAACAGTGACCCAATAAGTCAACGCTTTTCCGCGTTGTGAAAAATGTAAACGCAACAATGTTAGCAAGAAGCAGGGGACAGACGGAGAGACAGACAGACAGAGAGAGAGAGAGAGAGAGACAGAGTCTGACAGTCGCATAATTTTCTAATCGGTGAGGATTGCACGAGTTTGGCATAAATTGACACCCCGGGGGCAAATTGTATTTCATGTCTATGAAATTCAAGCATAAATAAACATACGCAACAAAGTAACACAAAGAGAAAGAATACAGAAATTAAGGCGAAAAAAAAAGGAAAACACAAAAGCAACGCATAAATAAAAATAATTAAATAATTAATGTCATTAAGTTATGCGCATTGACTTTTCTGCGTTCGGGTTAACAAAATACAAATGCCAGCAATAAAAATCCAAATAAAATTCATATACACACCAAGTACACGCATATGTGTATGTGTGTGTGTGTGTGTGTGTGTGTACATAATCCATATAAACTATATGGAAATTAGCAGCAGATTTATATGTTGTTGTTCGACTGCCAATTTTGCGATATATTTCAAATTTATTGTGCCACACTAATGACTAAACATTTATTAATTCTGAACGGCAGCGAAATACATTTTGAATAAATGCTTCAGTTGTGCATTAGTATATAAATTCTACAAAATTTAAATTATACATTTGTAGATTTTTATTCAATTATAATATATATTTTTAACAGCACGAAAGTTGATTTGCATTTATAAATTAACTATTCAATTCTATTTTTGTTAAAGTGCAAGAAGCTTTTCTTATCAGCTTCTCTGGCTTTAGTTGTCCATATTTCAAAATTTTATAACCCTGGTTAGAAAGTCGATTTACTAGTCGACTAGTCGACGAAGAATGAATGTCTGCGCTTTAAATAAACGAATAACTGAACCAGTTTCGGTTAATTAACGAATTTGTCATTTTTGCCCAAAAAAAAAAACGAATAAAATTTATGTTAAATATTAAAGCAGCAGCTTTGAATTGGGCATTTGGAAATCGGTTCTTGTTTTCCTCGAGAGATGACCGAAAATTGATAGAAAATGCTTGCAGCATAATTAATAATTATTAGTGTGGCAGTTGAAGATATGCTTTAATGTATGCACCAGTTTGATTATACAAAAAGAAAAACAACAAATTTATAAATTGCATTTTGTTGAATTTTGAGTTTTCAGTTTTTATTTATTTATTTATTTATTTTTTTTTTTGGTTGGCGATAAAAAGTTTTTAAGTGGTTCTCTGTCTCCTTTTCACATCTGACTCCATCTGTCTCTGCCTCCCTCTCTCCATCTCCCTCTCTGTCTCTCTCTGCCTTGCTCTCTCTTTTTTTTAGTTTTTTTTTTTAAATTATTCCAATGTGCCACCTTTTATTGTCTTTGGTCATTTTTCGTGATTTTGGTTTTTTATGACAATTCAAAAATCGATTTGGAATCGCTGCTCGATATGATTTAAGTATATTGCATATGTTTATATATATTTAAACATATATATATAACATCGTAAACTTGAAAATGATTTGAAAGCATTTTTTTTTTTGGGTATTTTTTGAGGCCTTTTAAGGTTTTGAAAGCTGCGGCCATTTGCATTTGCATATGGCAAATGAATCGAATCGAAACGCATTCAAACGATTCAGTTTCAGTTTCGATTCATCTTCTGTCGGGCCCAATTTAACACCACATTAATTAATTAAATACACAATATATACATATACGGTTCTTTGTCCATTTTTTGTTTATGATTTAACGGGTTTACTTTGGAAATCGTCCACACACACACACACACAATTATGACATTAAAAGCAAATCAGCTCAAAATATAATATTTACATTTTATGGCTTGTCGCTTTAGGGCCCAATTAAATAGTTTTAAAAAAAAAACAGCAAAACAGTAGTTTCCAAAAGCTTGTAAGAGTTGAGTCAATAAATAACTAATTGACAACTATTTCCATTTTAAATTATTAAATAGTTAAGCAACAGAAAAAGACAAATATTTCGACTATAAAATAATAGAGAAGAAAGCTGTAAAAACTTACCTTTCTCGGCGCTTCTGGCGCGATCCTTCAGCTGTTTGACAATGCCATATTTAACGGTACCAAATTGTATCATTTTATTTATGGTCTCCTGGTGATTATCCTTGAAGTCACTACGCATTGCACACAGAACGTTTTGCAAGTGATTTTTCATCAAGAATGGAGAACTTTTTCTTTTTGTATTTCGATTTGTTTTCTCGATTTTCCGATTTTCCGATTTTTATTTTAGCACAAACTGAACATTATTTATGCGTGGGTGTGTGCGTGTGTGTGTAGGTGTGTGTGGGTGTGTGTATGGGTGTGTGTGTGGCTGTGTGTGTTTGTGGGTGTGTGTAGTAAAATTTGTGTTTGTTGTTTTTGGCGCCAGTTGGCCAAAGAAATTTGTACATTTGTCATGCGCTCAGCACGCGATCCATGCTGCCCACTGCCCACTGTCCACTGTCCTTGTGCTTGTGTCCTTGTTCTTGCAACGCACGACTTTAACTCAAATATCTGTTTTGACTTTTTTCAATATTTTATAGACGTTTTTTGGTTTTTGATATTTCGATTTGTTGACGCTTGTGTTTTTGCCGACGGCTTTTGCAGCGCTTATCGATAACGAATCACGTTGACTTTCATCTTCAGCACATTGATCAAACTCAAACTCGGATGCGGATACGAAAATATATATATATTTATTTATATATATACATATATATATGTGTGTGTGTGTGTATGGTTGTATGTATATATATATATTGTTATGAACACTTTGACGCAATCTGATTGGAAACTTGGCGCACTCGCTAAAAATATTGTGGCTCGCAACGGGATTTATAATACATATGTATATTTATTTATGTGTGTGGCAACAACTCAGTTTTTGGCTGATACTCGCTGCTCTCTGTCTGCGGCACGAACGTTCAGCACGCGCGTCAAAATAACACTGACACAAAACACAAACAATATCGCTGAGATACTTTCAGCCACACACACACACACACACACACACACAAACACACACATAGACAGACACAGACACACACGAGTCGCTGTCGTCGTTTTCTGCTTCGGGCAGCGACGACAACGACGACGACGCGACCGGTTTACTATCAATATTTTTACATGCATGCGTATGTGTGTGTGTGTGTGTGTGTGTGTGCAACATTTTTATTATTACTGCCACCAACTGGCTTATCCTGACATTCATTCAACCTACCCACCTTCCACACACACACACACACACACACATACAGTCATATCTGTGTGACGCGCACTCGCTCACATTTCATATAATTTTTCATACATAAACGCTCTCGCTCCCACTTGCACACACACACACACACACACAGAGGCACAGTCGCATATTCCCTCTCATCATAACTTTTATTAAATTTTACTTGTCTGCCTCGCTTGCACTGCTAGCGCTCAATTGTTGCTGTTACTGTTACTGTTACTGTTGCCATCAACCTCACACCACAGCGTGAACACAAACACACACACACACACGGCTCAACTCACTCTCGCTCTCGCTCGCTCGCTCGCTCTCTCGCACACTCGCTCTCGCTCTCTCTCTCTCGCTCTCGCTCTGTCTAGCTCGCGAGTGGAGAGCGCAGGATGCTTTGCTGCTGCTGGCTGCTGCCTGCTGCTTTTACCTGTTTGCTCAACGGACATTTATGAAACTTGTTCGAAAAATTATGAGACACTCACACACACACACAGACACACACACGCATGCATAGCAGAGAGGCAGCGCTGCATGTGCTAACTGCGCTGTCGCTGCTGCTTGTGCTGACGGCGCTGTCGCTGCTGCTGTTGTCGTCGCTGCTGCTGCTGCTGCTTTTGCTTCCTTCCGTTTTCTGTTGGCTCTCTCACCTTTTCGCCATTGTTTTTTTTTGTGCATTTTTCTTGGCATTTTTAACAGCTTCTTCTTCGCTCTCTCTCTCTCGCTCGCTCGCTCTTGCTGCCGCACTTGCGCGCGCTCTCTGTCTCTCCCTTTCTCTCTCTCTTTGTTAATAATTTATCATAATTCATACAGCACCCCTACCCCCACCCCCTCTACCCCCTCTCTTCAACCATTCTGCTTATAAATGTTCGGCCCTTTTATTGATGCCATCTCGCTTGCACGCACGCCTGCGCCCCGACCATGTGTTGCGCTCGCTCTTCTGCCCACCTCTCGCTCGCTCTTTCTCTCTCACTCACACTCTCACGCTCTCCATCTATCGCTCTCGCTCTGCCTCGTGCGCTCTCCCTCTCCCTCTCGCTCTCTCTCTCTGTCTTTCGCGCAGTTATGAGCGCCGATTGCTGCTGCTGTTGTTGCTGTTGTTGTTGTATTTTTTTTAATTTCGGCTTTATAAGATTTTCGGTTCTTTGCTATTGTTCGCCCCCGACTCTCACCCATTCGTCCGTCGCTCTGTCTGTCTCTCTGTCTGTCCGTCCGTCTGTCTGCTTTGGGTGCTTCGCTTATTCGTCAATTCGATTTGTGTGTGTGTGCGTGTGTGTGTGTGCGTGTGTGTGTGCTGAGTATTATGAGCCATTCATCAAAATGTTTGGTTTCCTGTTTCATTCTTTGTTATTTTTATTGTTTGTTTTTTTTTTCTTTCTTTTTTGACTTTTGGCAACTCCCACTTAGTTTTTTCTTGTATTTATTTTCATGTTTAGAACTGTCATTCGCCCATTTTTCATTGTTTCGACGATTTTATCGATTTATTTTAAAGTCAAGTCCAATTCAAAAGTTTAAGCTTAAAGATACCCCCTCCACCTCCGCCTCCCCCTCCTCCTCACCCTTCACCCAAAACATACAAAAATTGCACAAATATTCATTGGAATGTTTTCAATTGTGACTCAATTTAATTTCCACACACATCTGGCGATAAGTTTTTATTTTTAATTTGTTGTGGCTTCTGTTTTGTTATAAACATTAATTGTTTTGTTTTTTTTTTTTTTCTAAGAGTTTTGAGCAATTGTCGAATTGCTTTTAAATTACTAGCTTAAATTTTATTGAAATTGTGAGCGAAATAAATGATTCAATATTTTTATTCATCGTGATTCTGATTTATTTGACTCAATGCAATTAAAAATCAGAATGAAATCAGTTTTAATGGATGATCTCATGCGAGTTTTAATAGCTATTAATGAAATGGGGTTTTTGCTAAAAATGTTTCTGATCTAGATCAAGAATTTGTATGAGTATGTGTACATATAAAAATAAAACTGTAAATAAAATAGTTCACTTTCCATAAGGAATCATAATAAAATATAGAAAACTAATTAAAAAAAAAAATTAGAAAAACATAAATACAATATAAACATTTATATAATTTTTATTTATCTAATATTAACTAAAGCCATTCAACAAAAAAAATACAAATTAAAAATAATTTTAATTATATCTTTTTTTACGACACGCTAATAAATACAAAAAGTAAAAAATAGATTAGATTAAATTAACAATAAATTGACTTATTTCTTTACTTGAAAATTATAATGAAGCCTAACTAAAAAATAACTCACTTCAAAGATTCTCTGAGCACTATTAGGAAAACTGAGTAAGCCCGATCATCCAATAGGAAATCAACAGAAATATAATAATCAATATTAAAAGAAGAAAAGAAATAATACAACTATTGCTGTCTCTGTTCAAGAAACTGCTGCAAGAAAAGCCAAGCGAAAAGTCAAATTCGTCAAAACGGGTGCAGTTTGGGGTGGGGGTGAGAAGTTTAGCCGAGTGACTGCCATAAATATGGCCAGCAAACGCATAAGCTGAAAGGGTAGCAAATGAAAAATGCTAAGAGGAAAATAAAACACAATGTGTGGCAAAGAAAATGCATAAAACGGAAGGAGTAGCGAAAATGAAACGCTTTAAAAAAAAAAGAAGCAGAAGGGAACCAAAGCGAGCCGAGCAGCAGCGAAAGAAGCAGGAGAAGAAGAAGAAGAGCAGAAAAAAAGCGAACCCAAATCCAATCGCCACCTTGCGCACCAGTAAGAAAACAGAAAGCAGAAAACGGCGCACTCATAAACCAACAACAACAACAGCAATAGCAACGACAACAACAACAGCAAGAAATATACGCCTCCTACCCACTCATATCTCTCTGCTCGCACGCACGCGTCTCTGCGTATCTAGTTGTCTGTGTGTGTGTGTGTGTGTGTGAGGGCCAATACATAATTCATAACGCTCATATTCGCTCATTTTGCGTCGCTGCTGCCGACAGCCAACCGTCGTCGTTTATGTAGCTGCCCTTTTCATATCTGCCATTATACTCCAACCAATACGCCAATACAGCACACACTCACACACACACACACGCATACACAAGCGACGTCAAGTTTTTGATAGACTCTCATAATCATAACGAAAACAACAACAAGCAGCGCTCATTGAATTCTTACAGGTTGCCAGCCGCCAAGCGCTCTCTCTCTCTCTCTCTTGCTCTCTCGCTCTCTGTTTGCTCTCAATTTCGAACTGTGTCTGCCAGCCTATTTCTGTCACTGTCGCCCGCTCAGCGACCATGCGCTGTTAGCGCACGCAGTCTTATACGCTGTTAACTGTGCGTTCATCGAAAATGTTAATGTTAAGCATACCCCGCCAACTGTTACGCTTAACATGTGCATGCTAAATGGATATGTGTGTGTGTGTGTGCCTGCCTGTGTGTGTGTGTGAATTGGCAGATTTGTTTGTTTTTTAATTCGGGCATTTTTTAAAAATCCATTAGCTCATAATCATAAACAATAGCGCGTTTCTTATGCGACAAAAATGGCGACAATAAAAAAGAAACATTAAATTTGTTAATTGGAATAAGAATCTATTTAAAAAATATATAATTTTATAATAAAATGTGAATGGAATTTTAAAATGAAATGAATAAAATGTGATATTTTTTAAGGCGAGTATTGCTCTCTCACTCGCAATCAATCAAATACCCTTTCTTTCACACTCTCTCTATATATCTCTCTGTGAGGATCAATAAGAAGAGGAAGAAAAGCAGGCACTTTTAATGATCTTGCGGCCTCTTTGTGGCCCTAATTAAAAATCAAACTAAATAAAATAAAATTATGCACAAAATTCTAAAAGACAAAAGACCAAAACGGAATTGCTTCCGCTCGATATAAATTTATGCAGGCGGCGGTCCTCTAAGGACAGAGAGAGAGAGAGTGAGAGAGAGAGAGTGAGAGAACGAGCTAAAAATGCAGGCGATCTAAAAAGAAATAGGCAGAAACACTTTCAAGTCGGGCGTACCTGACTCGACTACCCTATAAAATAAAACAAACACAATTTGTGTGTTGCGCATTTTAAAATTTTGTTTTCCTTTCCTATTT